CTCAGTCGTGTCCAACTCTTTGCGACCCCATGGACTGTAGCCCACCAGGTTCTTCTGTTCATGGGGATTCTCCAGGCAAGAATACTGGAGTGGGTTGTCATGTCCTCCTCCAGGGGATCTTCCCAACCCAGGGATCGAATCCAGGTCTCCTTTGCAGGCAGATTCTTTACTCTCTGAGTCACCAGGGAAGCCCAGGAATACTGAAGTGGGTAGCCTATCCCATCTCCAGGGGATCTTCCTGACCCAGGAATCAAATCGGGGTCTTCTGCATTGCAGGCGGATTCTTTACCAGCTGAGCTACCAGGAAAGCCCCCATGCTAATCCCTACTATAGTGCATATAATGATGCTTTTAAACACATATTTAATGCTCATCTCCCTTCTAGAACACGAGCTTCCTGACAACAAACATGGTGTCTATCATGTTCCCTGCTCTACCTGGCAACCAGCAAGCACTCGGCATCATTAGGCACATAGTAAATATTGCTGAATAACTAATAGAGGTTGCTATATGAAAAAGATTTTACCTAGAAAGTTCTGTTTGTCTCAGTCCAGTGCAGAGAGTAGCACAGGTCATCACTGTGCAGAAAACACCAGAAAGTCCTAAAATCTACTGGGACTGCAGCATGCCAGGCTCCTCTATCTTCCACTGTCTCCCAGAGTTTGCTCAAATTCATGTTCATTGAGTGTTCAGTGATGTTATCTAACCATCTCATCCCCTGCTGCCCTCTTCTCCTTTTGCCTTCAATTTTTCCCAGCATCAGGGTCTTTTCCAATGAGTCCAAGGTCTCTTCCCATCAGGTGGCCAGTGTACTGGAACTTCAGTTTCAGCATCAGTCCTTCCATGAATATTCAGGGTTGATTTCCTTTAGGATTGACTGGTTTGCTCTCCTTACTGTCCTTGGGACTGTCCCTGAGACTCTCAAGAGTCTTCTCCAGCACCACACTTCTAAAGCACCAATTCTTCAGTGTTCAGCTTACTTTATGGTCTAACTCTCACATCCATCATGACTACTGGAAAAACCATAACTTTGACTATATGGACCTTTGTCAGTAAAATTATGTCTCTGCTTTATAATACACTGTCTAGGTTTGTCATAGCTTTCCTTCCAAGGAGCAAGTGTCTTTTAATTTCATGGCTGCAGTCACCATCTGCAGTTATTTTGGAATTCAAGAAAATAAAATGTCATTCTTTCCACTCCCCCTTGCCCTTTCTATTTGCCATGAAGTTATGGGACCAGATGCCATGATCTTAGTTTTACAGTGCTGAGTTTCAAGCCAACTTTTTCACTCTCCTCTTTAACCCTCATCAAGAGGCTCTTAGTTCCTCTTCAGTTTCTGCCATTTTAGAGTGGTATTATCTGCATGTCTGAAGTTGTTGACATTTCTCCTTGAAATCTTGATTCCAGCTTGTGATTCATCTAGCTGAATATTTCACATGATGTACTCTGCATATAAATTAAATAAGCGAGGGGACCATATACAGCCCTGTCATACTCCTTTCCCAGTTTTGAACCAGTCACTTGTTCCCATGTCCAATTCTAACTGTTGCTTCTTGACTAAAATACAAGTTTCTCAGGAGAGAGGTAATGTGGTCTGTTACTTCCATCTCTTTTGTGGAATTTTCCACAGTTTTTTGTGACCCACACAGTTAAAGGCTTTAGTGTAGTCAGTGAAGTAGAAGATGTTTTTCTGCGATTCTCTTGCTTTTTCTATGATCCAACAGGTGTTGGCAATTTGGTCTCTGATTCCTCTGCCTCTAAACCCAGCTTGTACATCTGGAAGTTCTCTAGTCACATACTCCTGAAGGCCAACTTGAGGTATTTGGAACATTACTTTGCTAGCATGTGAGATGAGTGCAATTGGGTGGTAGTTTGAACATTCTTTGGATTGCCTTTCTTTGGGATTGGGATAATAGTTGACCTTTCCCAGTCCTGTGGCCACTGATGAGTTTTCCAAATATCCTGACATTTTGAGTGCAACATTTTGACAGCATAATTTTTTAGGATTTTAAATACCTCAGCTGGAATTCCATAACCTCCACTAGCTTTGTTCAAGTAATGTTTCATAAGGCCCACTTGACTTCACATTTCAGAATATCTGGCTCTAGGTGAGTGAACAAACCATCTTGGTTATCCTGATCATTAAGACCTTTTTTGTATAGTTTTTCTATATTCTGTATATTGTGTATTCCTGCCACCTCTTCTTAATATCTTCTGCTTCTGTTAGGTCCTTACTATTTCCGTCCTTTATCATGCCCATCACTGCATGAAATGTTTCCTTGATATCTCCAGTTTTCTTGAAGAGATCTCTAGTCCTTCCCATTCTATTATTTTCTTCTGTTTCTTTGCATTGTTCATTTAAGAAGGCCTTATCTCTCCTTGCTATTCTCTGAAACTATGTTCAGTTGAGTGTATCTTTCCCTTTCTCCATTAACTTTCATTTCTCTCCCTTCCTCAGTTATTCGTAAAGCCTCCTCAGACAACCACTTTGCCTTCTTTCATTTCCCTTTCTTTGGGATTGTTTTAGTCACTGCCTCCTGTACAATGTTATGAACCTCTGTCCATAGTTCTTTAGGCATCCTATCTACCAGACTAAATCCTTTGAATTTATATATTACCTCCACTGTATAATCATACGGGATTTGATTTAGGTCATACCTGAATGGCCTCGTGTTTTTCCCTACTTTTTTCAATTTAAGCCTGAATTTTGAAATAAGGAGGTCATGATCTGAGTCACAGTCAGCTCCAGGTCTTGTTTTTGCTGACTGAATAGAGCTTCTCCATCTTCAACTGCAAAGAACATAATCAGTCTAATTTTGATATTGACCATCTGATGATGTCTACATGTAGAGTCATCTCTTATGTTGTTGGAAGAGGGTGTTTGCTGTCACCAGTGTGTTCTCTTGAGTAAACTCTGTTAGCCTTTGCCTTGCTTCATTTGTATTCCAAGACCAAATGTGCCTATTATTCCAGGTATCTCTTGACTTTCTAATCTTGCATTCCAATTCCCTATGATGAAAAGAATGTCTTTTTCTGGCGCTAGTTCTAGAAGGTGGTGTAGGTCTTCATAGAACTCATCAGATTCAGCTTCTTTGGAATCAGTGGTTGGAGCATAGATTTGGATTACTGTGATGTTGAATGGTTTCCCTTGGAAATGAACTAAGATCATTCTGTCATTTTAGAGGTTGCACCCAATTATTGCATTTTGGACTCTTTGTTGACTATGAGGACTACTTCATTTCTTCTAAGGTATTCTTTCCCACAGTAATAAATACACTGGTCATATCAATTAAATTCACCCATTCCTGTCCATTTTAGTTCACTGATTCCTAAAATGTCAGTGTTCAATCTTGCCATCTCCTACTTGTCTGTGTCCAGTTTACCTTGATTCGTGGGCCTATCACTCCTGGTTCCCATGTCATATTATTCTTTATAGCATCAGACTTTATTTTCACCACCAGACATATCCACAGCTGAGCATTGTTCCCACTTTGGCCCAGCCACTTCATTCTTACTGGAGCTGTTAGTAACTGCCCTCCACTTCTCCCCAGTAGCATATTTAACACATTTCAACCTGTAAGGGCTCATCTTTCAGTGTCACACCTTTTTTGCCTTTTCATACTGTTTATGGGGTTCCCCAGGTGGGGCTCTGATGGCAAGAACACTGGAGTGGGTTGCCATTTCCTCCTCCAGTGGACCCCATTTGTCAGAACTCTTCACTATGACCCAGCCATCTTGGGTGGCCCTGCACAGCATGGCTCATAGCTTCATTGAGTTAGGCAAGTCCCTTCACCATGGCAAGGCTGTGATCCGTGAAGGGGAATAATCATCACACCCATAAATAACAACATGTGAGCACTTACCATATATAGCATTGTTGATCATCTCTTGGTATATTAAATCACTGAATCCATACACCTGGTTTCTGAGGGAGAGCTTCCTCTGATTCACATTCTTACTGATGGGGAAACTGAGGCTACACAGAGGTTTAACTGCTTACTCAAAGTCACCAGCTGATTGGTCCACTGTGACAGGGCCCCTCGGACTTTCCATGATCCCAAAGGTTCAGAGCTCAGACTTGAGGGCCAAACAGCACAGATGAAAATCCAAGTTCTGCTGTGGACCTGAGGGGTGACTTTCCTCTGTCCCCTCATCCATCCCTCAGGTGGGTGAGATGACTTTCCTGCCCATCTGGATGGTTGCCCGAGCCATGTGACCAGGTACTAACTGATGGGGAGATCAGTTCAGCAAGTGTACAGCCATTCATAAATTGTTCCTTTCTCTGTCTGTATAAAGATGGTGTTCTCAGCTGGTCTTTTAATACCCTCTGCTGTTCCCCATACTTCGGGTTGGTCTGCTTCCAGACACAGAAAACTGAATATACTTTTTATACTGCTCCTGTTACTCCAGCGTTCTAGAGAGAACCAAGAAATGTGTGGGGCTTGCAAAGCCCACAGAACTGCCAGAGCTCCAACCCCAAAAGGATTCTTGCTTCTGCAGCAGGAGAATTGAGAGAACTCAAAAGGAAACTTGTCCCCAGTGGTAAAAATCAGACCAAATAGTTTAGTGCCTACCTGGGAGTCTTCTTGGTAAACAGTCTGAAATTCTGTTTCCCCTGGAATTACCAGCTCGGTGAAATTTGCTTTTGGTATTTACCAGATATTTTGAAGACATGGGCAAGCTGCAGGAAACAGACTCCAACTAGGATGCCCCAAACTATACTGAGCCCACCCCACCCCAAAACCAAACTGCCTTGAACCTGAAATCCAAGACATTCCTCTAGCCAGAAAAGAGGCCTTTGCTGAACTGAGAAAGGCAAATAAGAATGAAAGCTGTAGACCAGATGATAATTTCAAGGATATTATGCTTTAATAACAAACACAAATATTTTTCTTCAGTATACTATAATAACACAGGGATGACGTGGCAGGCATATTGCTAAGGTGTATTTAGTTCTTAGAGCAAGCAACTGAATGGCAAAATATGCTCCTCTTCTGCAGATGAGGACAGAAAGGCCCACAGAGGTGGAGGAACTTGCCCGCAGTCACAGAGCCTGCAAGAGCAAACAGGGTGCAGATCTAGATTAGGCTGACTCTCTTCCTCCGTGCCTCCCTGCCTGCCTGCAAGCTGGATTGCTTTCATCTCATGCTGAGAAGAGCTGGGCCCCCTCCACACTACTGCCAAGAAGCAGCTTCAAAATTTTTTTGAACAAAGGGTAAGCCAACAACTTAAGTTGATAACCAGAGAGTGCCATGCATGCTTTTGGTTCTTTCTGTGCAAGAAGGGGTGGCTATTGGTGGGAAAGGGAACGTTTCTGTCTAATAACTGGGCTTGTTGTCTGCATGCCAATAAGTATAACTGGTTTGACTGATGCTGTCAGTGAGTCATATGGGGGAGGGATGGGACCAGTTTTGTAGTTGAAGTAGCCAGTTCAATTGACTGAACTTCCCACTTTTCTGATTGTCCCTATGGCACCCATGGACAGAACCAGAAGCTCAGCTCAGAGGTTTCACACATTCACATAAGCTTTGCTGACTCCCTAGAGTCCTAGGTTTGACTGTGAAAGAGCAAGTCTGAGGCCTTCTCCCTTTCGGGAATGTGCAGAATGTCAGAGGCCACTTCTGTGCAGCTGAAATTTGCCAACCATTCACCACTTCACTAGAGGTTCTGTTCCTGCCTCATGCCCAAAGTGGCATTTTTTAAGCCATTGGAATTTGAAATGTCATTTTTATGTTATAATAAGAGTAATACACAGATTACAGACACATGCTCAGTATAAAAAATAATTCAAATGACATAGCAATAGGTAATGGAAAAATGAATATCCATTCCACCCATCCTCTTCCCTACTTTCAGCCTATTCCCTTCCCTAGAAATAGCTGCTATTAACTTGTGAACATCTTTCTATGCTTCTTTCTAGACAGATACACAGAAAAATAGAATACATTTGTATGTGTGGAGAGTTTTTAAAAATCATTATTGGTATTAGACTCTATATAGTATTCTGCATCATGCTTTTCATACTAAACAAGTTCTTTCCACTTAGATCTCTGTATTATTCTTTTTAAGTGCTGCATAGTATTTAATAATTTACTTAACCATTCCTCTATGATTAGTTAGGTCTTTTATGAGCTTCACTATTACAAACAATGTTTTAGTGAGCTTACTTATACATTTATTCTCATACATTCTTCAGAATGTATCCGAGAGCATATTTCTTAGAAATAGAATTGCAGGGTCAAAGATGTGTATTTTTATGCCCATTCTTATTTTGATAGAAAAACTGCCAGATTACTTCTCAAAAAAAAAAAAAGGCAAATAAAAAACAGTGCCTGTTTCCTTTCCAATCAACAGTCTATAAGAGGAAATTTGGCAATTTTGTAACACCAACTTCTCAAACCTCTACCTGAGGGTATTTCTCTGCCAGCTAAAATATTATTCTTGGTATCAGAACTTCCTGGTAGCTGATGATCTCTTGGATGCCTGGTTCTGTGGAGGTATTTGATGAGCCGCCCCCTACCCTACTTTAGCTAGAAATGCACCCCACAGCAGGCTTGGACTCCCACTGTTCCAAGTTCTGCATAACAATCATCTTTCTATATTATAACTGATCTAGTCATATTTTGGCTCTTCAACTAGGGAATGCTGTCCTCTGGGACAGAAACCATGCCTAGTCATCCTTTTATTCCCAGCACTTACCATAGTGTATGATAGTGATCCATGGTCCCTGAGCTATTTGAATGAATGGCAGAAAAGAGGGTGGGAGGAAGGAGAGAGGGAGGGGAAAAAGAAAGTAGTTGATCCCATGAGGGTCCTCAAACCCACGGAGACACGGAGACTTAGTAAAGCTCTGTGTGAAGTGGAGGGACAAGATTTCTAGATTTCTCCTGTACCCAAGATATCTGAGCACCTGGAACCAGAAAATGTCTTTTATTTCTAAAACACTACTCAGCCACTTATCTGAACTGAGTAACACTGTCCATCTCCAGTCTTAAAACTGCAAGGCAGAATATGGGATTTGTGAGACAGCAAAGCTCAAACGTTTTGTTCTTTTGAGTTTTCCAAGCACACTGTGCTTATATGCTTTTCTCATAGCTTATATGCTAACAAAGATGTGCTTGGAAAAATGAAAATTAGAGGACTTTCTGGTCTGACGGTAGACTTACCTCTTTCCTGGGATCTGTCCTCTCAGCCCTCAGGGGCCTTCCCACAACCACATGGTCTTCTCTCCTACTTCATTTTCCAGGCATCATGCAAGCATCCTGCCCACTCCATCCTGCCTTAACTTTCTATCCTACACAAGGGAACTCGCTGAAGGGACTCCTCTGCTCATGATTTTAACAGCTGGAAAATTGCTTTATCTTTACTCTGCCCACATGTTGTACACAGGCTTACAGGATATGTCTTATCATTGATTTCTGAGCTGACTCAAGCAATTTCCAGAAAATATTAAAAATTTCATGAATGCAGTCAAGTTCAAGAAACTGCCTAGAGCCACGCAGGCTGAGCTTGCACAATCCTGAGGCCCCAGAGTAACATGACCTCAAGTATCAAGGAGAAGCTGTACTTATAAAGGCAAGCATCCACACACAAGGAAGAGGAATGGAAAAATAAAAGGAGAACTGAGATGGAGGGAGAGAAAAAGATTTTTCTTAAAGGAAGTAAACATTGTAGTTAAAGGATGCAACTAAATAAAGGTGGCATGTCTTATTGAATCAACTAAGTTGATGGATCCTCAGGTACTGTGTTCTCTGGAGGACTCTCAAACATACTAGTTTAAACACACTATAGTCATGCACACTAGCTGCTTGTGTATTTGAGCCACTTGTTTTTCTGTTAGTGACCAAATGTTTACACACTAGTGGCATTAATACCCCAGGGCCTCCGAGACAGTTGTAGTATGTCAGCCATACTGAGCATCAGCTTTGCTGGTTAGTCCAGAGATGTTTGGCCTCTCAGGTGGCACTAGTGGTAAAGAACCCACTTGCCAGTGCATGAGATATAAGAGACTTGAGTTCGATCCCTGGGTTGGGAAGATGCCCTGGAAGAGGAAATGGCAACCCTCTCCATTAGTCTTGCCTGGAGAATTCCATGGACAGAGGAGCCTGGCAGGCTACAGCCCTTAGGGTTTCAAAGAGTTGGACATGACTGAAGTGACTTAGCACCAGAGATGTTTTAGTATTTCCTGTCTGGACCTACAATCTCTTATCTCTGGGGACTTTTTCTTTTCTAGCAACACCTCTCCCGTTACTATTTATAGCTCTATGATGGGAAAGACCTCTCTGGTAACTCTATATATTTTAGAGCCGACGAGCAATTATTAAGTATTACCTTGTCTGGAGTTTTCATGTTCATTCTCTGTCTTGTGTCACCACTGCTATTACCACCTCGATCCCAAGACATCTTTCTAAATGCTGTTGTTTGCTTTTGGATTTTACATATCTGTTTATAATACATTAAGTCCCTACATATGAACAAGTTCCATTCCAAGAGTGAGTTTGTAAATCCAATTTGTTTGTAAGTCCAACAAAGTTAGCCTAGGCGCCCAACTAACACCATCATCTATAAAATACTGTACTGTGACAGTGACAGTGTTAGTCTTAGTTGTGTCTGACTCCTGGCCACCCCATGGACCATAGCCCACCAGGCTCCTCTGTCCATGGGATTCTCCAGGCAAGAATACTGCAGCGGGTAGCCATTCCCTTCTCCAAGGGTTCTTACCAACCCAGGAGTGAAACCTGGGTTTTCTGCACCACGGGCAAATTCTTTACTGTCTGAGCCACCAGGGAAGGCCCTTGTACTGTAGTTGGTTTATAATACTTTTCACACAAATAATACATAAAAAAAAACAAACACAAAAAATAAAGAAAGCATCCTTAGCCTTACAGTACAATTATCTTACAAACACCTGAGCTTACATGATTGGACCTGCAAACATGTTTGCATTTTTTTATAATACTGTTTTTTTAATACTATTTATTTATTTGTTATTCTTTTTTTTTTTCATTTATTTTTATTAGTTGGAGGCTAATTACTTTACATCATTGCAGTGGTTTTTGTCATACACTGAAATGAATTAGCCATGGATTTACATGTATTCCCCATCCCTGTCCCCCCTCCCACCTCCCTCTTCACCCGATCCCTCTGGGTCTTCCCAGTGCACCAGGCCCGAGCACTTGTCTCATGCACCCAACCTGGGCTGGTGATCTGTTTCACCCTAGATAATATACATGTTTCGATGCTGTATTTATTTGTTATTCTTAATTTTGGTTGCCCTGGGTCTTTGTTGCTGTACGTAGGCTTCTCTCATTGCAGGGAGCAGGGGCTATTCTTCATTGTGATGCATGGGCTTATCATTGCAGTGGCTTCTCTTGTTGCAGAGCACAGGCTCTAGGTGTGCAGGCTTCAGTAGCTGCACCACATGAACTGCAGGCTTAGTGGTTGTGGCGTGCCACTCTAGGGCATTGGAGCTTCAGTGTTTGCAGCACACAGGCTCAGTAGCTGTGGCTCCCAGGCTCTAGAGCTTGGGCCCAGTAGTTGTAGTGCATAGGCTCAGCTGGTCCGTGGAACGCGAAATCCTCCCAGACCAGGGACTGAAACTGTGTCCCCTGCATTGGCAGGCAGATTCTTATCCACTGTGCCACCAGGAAGTCTCACATTTGCATCTTTGAAAGTCTGCAATTAGAAGGTTCGTATGTAGGGGGCTTCAGTTCAGTTCAGCTGCTCAGTCATATCTGACTCTTTGCAACCCTGTGGACTGCATTCCCTGTTCATTAGCAACTCCTGGAGCTTGCTCAAATTCATGTCCATTGAGTCGGTGATGACATCCAACCATCTCGTTCTCTGTTGTCCCTTTTTCCTCCTGCCTTCTATCTTTCCCAGCATCAGGGTCCTTTCCAATGAGTCATCTGTTTGCATCAGGTGGCCAAAGGATTGGAGTTTCAGCTTCAGCATCAATCCTTCTAATGAATACTCAGGACTGATTTCCTTTAGGATTCACTGGTTGGATCTCCTTGCAGTCCAAGGGACTCTCAAGAGTCTTCTCCAACACCACAGTTCAAAAGCATCAATTCTTCGGTATTTAGTGTATGCTTATATATGACATGATATAACCTATATAATATTATAATAATAGCTGCTATTATGAGCACATAATTGTTTTCTTTGTCAAACTAGTACTGTATTTGAACTTACTCTACACTAGAGACTC